AATTGAAGTATATTATATATTAGTAATTGTTATAATATATGAATTAAAGTGGAGGTATTATTGGTCTCCGGGGTAGTGGGGGCAATGTATTATTTACTTTTCGATTATTAGTTCTTTAATTTAAATTTTTTTAAAAAACCAACTTAACCTGCCCAAGAACCAAAACACAAAGCAGAAGGGGAGGTGGTGCTCTTCGAAACTTCACTGTCAGCAAGCCAGACTTCCAGCTGAAATATTGTTTCCGTTTTTAAAAAAAGCCTGAATAACTGAAATGCCAGGTGCCGGAAGAGCTCTTCATGGGCACTCCGTTAGCACCCACGGACCTCAGTTTGGAGAGCCCAGTTATGAGTCCTTAGGGATTCAAGCATGCCAGCAGCGATTCACTTCCCTCTTCCTTGTGCCAATTTCCCATTTTGCTTTTAAAAATTTTAAAATGTGAGTAGAATGTTTAATTTTAAAATGTGAGTAGAAAGGAGGACGTCCTACAACCAGTTGCCAGTTCCCTTCACTTCCGTTGAAAGATCCAAAAGTTAAGTTCACATCAGGCCTTTCCTCACCTCTTTGGCTGCAGTTGTGTGCTGACCCATGCTCTGACTTGGAAATGTTTGTGGATCTGATAGCCGTCTGCTGCTTGGGAAGCTGCAGCTCCTAATTCTCAGGCTGCCCAGCTGTGTATCCTTTGGAAAATGCTGTCCAGAATTAGGACCTGAGCAGTTTTGAATTTCCTGCCACCTGTTTTGATTTTGCTTTACCTGTAATTCAGAGAGCAAGACTGTTGGGGCAGGACCTTGGAATATTCTGGAATCCTGCCATTCCCCACTAGATTTTATTTAAACTGTGATTTACAAGCAAATGATGGCGTAATTTTTCATCTGTGTGGCCACTGAGAATTAGGATTTCTGGCATCATCGTTCTAATGGGTCAGTGCCCCATGGATAGAAGGCATTCTATCCATGGGGCACTTGTTCTCAGTAGGCATTTGTACTGATGGTAGAGAAAGGCGTTGGTGGTAACCTCACACACTGGCCTGCATTCACATGTAATGGCAAACAGTGGTTTAGCATCACCCTTGCCTTTCTTCCCCCTGGTGCAGCCACAAGGATACTTTTGTTTATGAACTGTTCATTATTTGTTATATCCAAACCCAGGCAAACTGTGGCTTGTTTTAGCTATATTTTATGCAAACAAGGTAGCGTCAAACAATTCTGACCTGTGTCTTTACACTCACAATGTTTTTCGATTTGGACAGAATAACTCTCTTTAGTCGTCTTATTAACTTGTTGCAGTTGGAGTGCATAATTGCCTGAAGTGTATACTTAAAAATAACAATTGCAAAATGGCCCTCAGTTCCAGCACCTGGAAACCTGGAACTATTATACATTTGTTAGCTATGTGGGTTTTTTAAAACAGTGCTGAGGCTAACATTATGAATCATAACAAGCTCAGAGAACATGGGCTGCAGAAGTCGGGAGATCCGGGTGTCTTGCCATGCTGTTTTCAGTGTTCTGGAAATACATGAAGCAGCTCAGTGGCATTTCTGTGGAAGTGACCTGACTCACCCCCCACTCCCCATCCTCACCCGAGCCCCTACTCCAGCACGGCAATTTTCCATTCCACTTATTTCTGGAATTTCTCCCTTGGAGGCATTTTATCCACAGACTGTTGCAACACAGCCTCCAAATGACATAAGTCTTTTTCTCTGTGTGCTTGACCCAGGCCACTGCTTTGACACGTTTTTTTCTGTCTGTCTTTCCCCTACACAACCTGCTATTCGGAACATGCTATGCTTTGGGCTCATCACAAGAAGGCAAGACACGCTGGAGAAGTCCATAGTATTAGGAACGTCTCAGGCAGAAGAAGAGGTGGAAAGCCAGCTGTTAGATGGGAAGATACCATAAAGAAAGCTGCAGCCCTGAGTTCACAAGAACTGAGTCAAGGACAGGATATTTGGAAGGCACTCATTTGTGCGGTTGTCATAAGCTGGAGAGGACTTAAAGACACACAACAGCAACACCATGCTATCCACACCTGCCCCTCTGCAGTAAACGTGTACTTCTGCACAGATAAGCAAAAACAGGCACTCTTCCTGCCATCCTTTCCACAGCACAGAGTGACTCTGTCTCTGCTTTGCCTGTAGAAAACTCCGTGTTCCATCGCTGGCATCACCCCTTCAAAAGCGCCCCAGAAAGGGGAGATGGGTCCAGCCTCCTACTCGAGGCTCCAGGCAGTCACTGCTAGTCAGAGCAGGCGGTTCTAGGCTTGGTGGACAGGTGACCGGGCAAGCGACAAGGTGGCTCCTTGTATTTTTATGCTCGCAACCCACCCTGCGAAGCAGGATAAGCTGAGAGGCAGTGACCACCCCAAGCTGAGAAAGTGAAGTTTGGGGTTGAGTCCAAACTTTGACGCAGATTTTTCCAACTCGGCTTTATTTACCTTTTAAATTTACACAATTCATCTAGTACTTCAGAGGGCAGAGCAGTGCAGATTAAAACAAACAAAAAACCAGTTATTAATTTAAAAACTGGCTGCTCAGTCAAGGAAGTCTCTTTGAAATAAAAATGTCTTTAGCAGACACCAGAAGAATACTGTATTGGTGCTGCCTGACCTCCAAAGGCAGGGGTTTTCAAAGAGCAGGAGCCACCACGGTGAAGACTCTGCTCCAAAGGGACTATGGCTTGGCCAGAGGTTAAACAACTAGGGGTGCCTCATCTGATGGCCTGAATGGCAGGGCAGGGCAGTAAGGGAGAAGGCGATCTCTTGTGTACCCTGGTCCAAAGCTGTTCAGGGCTTTATACACTAGCAACAAAACCTAAAACGTGACCTGGTAGTGGAAAGGCAGCGAGCGCAGTTCTCTCAGAAAAGCAGTTGCAGAATTCAGCACACTGTCTGCTTCACGGCTCATCAGTCATCGGGATTAGCTCATCAAACTGTGCTTAATTAAGCCATCATTGCTGAGCTTCTGCCCTCTCCCCGCAACCTTGGCCCTCTCCTTGCTTTATCCATCACAGCCTATAAGTAGAGATCAAATTCTCTTTTCTTCGCCTAGGCTTTTTCCATCTGATTTGCTCCACTTTCCCAGACACTTTCTTTGTGTTGTATCTTGGAGTTCATAAACTTGTAGATAGGGAATGCCTCCCTCCTTTAATGCCGTACTCCTCTAACAACGAGTATGAGGAAGAGCCAAAGGTGGGCAGGATAGTCAGTTGCTGTGCATAGCAGCGTGGGTCGTGTCTAGCACTGGGCAGGATGGAAGAAAAGTCCACAACACTAGTAAAATGCTGCATTTGCAGGGCAACGTTCGAAGCAATTCATCATTTCTATGGGCTATGTTGTTCTCACATCTCTAATTTACACACCCAGCGGGACACTTAGATTCCCCCGGTCTGCTTGCCAAGGAAATGGATAAAGGCGCAAAATCTGTTTTGCACGTACCCTCTTGGGAAGTCGCCCTTGACCGTCTGCGTTATGGTTTGGTGCTCAGTCCTGCTACATAGGAATTGACACAAGCTGCCACCAAGGGCTTCAGTGCATAGTATGACTAGCCATGCACCAACACCCAGAGTGAGCATGCTGTTACCAAGTGTTGACTGTTTTCAGTTTTGCCTTCGACTTGTAGTAGAAACTCTGTCTTTCTGTTGAAAGCAACAACACAAGCCAAGGTGTTGATGCCTGGATTTTCTTAAACAGTATTTTATTTTATTTTATTTTATTTTACTTTACTTCACTTCACTTTACTTCACTTTACTTCACTTTACTTCACTTTACTTTACTTTACTTTACTTTACTGTACTGTACTGTACTGTACTTTACTTATTATTTTTCTATTATCAGACTTGTAAATGGCACTAATAGTCCCCTGAAGGACTCCCTAAGCAGTTTACAACACAACAGATAAGCAATAAACTAAGTCAAACCAGTATGACAGTTGCATTGCAATATAACGGTAACAGTAGAAAAATAGCAATATAACAATAGCAATATTTCATCCATCCAATTGTAGGTTTAGAGTAGATGAGCATTTGCAGCATGTGTTTTGTACTACAGCAAGTAGTGCAGGGCAGTGTATACACTAGTACACAAATGCACTTGCCACGTCACCTGTGCAAGTAGGTTTCTTACTCTGATAAGACCACTGTATCAGAGAACAACTCTGCCCCGTTGGCTGCCAGGAGTACTCCACGGCTGGCTGCAAAGATTTGCATGGCTCTCCCCTCCACCAAATTAAAATCAGAGGAAATGCTTTGCACTCCGCTGAAAGTGGGGCAGAGGCAGAATTGTTTTGCCTTGGAGGGGCTCCTTCTGGTAACTCATCATGAGCCAATTGTCCTGGCTTGGGGCTGAATACCAAGGAAATGGGCATGGCATTGCTTCTTCATTCTGCAAGATCACTGCAGGGGACGTGTAATTGGGTCACCTAAGTATGCCAGATGCAGAGTTGCCAAAGACTTGTCCACCTGCAGCAAAAGCTAATGGAAAGGAAGCCACTTTGTGGGAGGGACTTGTTCAGAGAAGAGACAAGCTTTTGGATAAAGAAGGGTATTTTCTTCCTGCTGTTTTGATTTTCTTTTTGTATTTCTCTTGTAAAACCCTAGTAAACATTATTAATGGGTTAATATTGGTGTATGGGTATTTGTTTAATTAGCTCATTCTTCATGGGTCAGCAGTGAGTAGGGCCAGATCCAAAAGTCCCCACCCCCACCCCCACCCCCGTTCCTTTCCCCCCTGTGGCCTGCCAGGACAGAGAACCGGTGGTCTGAACTGATCACACACACAGGGTGCTTGAAATTAGACTGGTGAAGGCAGAGAAAGCTGGCCTAGATGTTACTGGACAGCCAGGTTGGTGCTCCTCCCGTATGGAACAGCCATTTTTCCCAGGAGCAGTAGGGCGAGCAGTGCTGCTCCTTCTCATTTGCTCTTGGAGTTGTGGGGCAGCAGTATGAGGAGTGGAAGTCAGTTGATTCTGAGACCTTGGCAGTGTCCTATGCCAAGTGGTGTGGCGAGAGTGCAGCAAGGAACAGCAAGGGCCAGTGCCAAGCCAAGTTCATTGGGCCGTCCAAAGTCTAGATGCAGAAAGTTCCAGGGAAGAGCAGTGGCAACTCCTTGGCTAGAGTGGGAGACAGGTGATTGGTGTCACCCCTGTCATCACGCATCCTCATGAGCATGGACTTTTAGGCAGCTGCACTCTGTGGGGTTCAGTAGGCTCTTGGCAACTGCCTCCAAGTCCAAGAGGATGGACCCTGTCCATCTTGAGGGACAGGTCCAATGGCTCCCTCCCCTGAGACTCCTGCTTTCCCCCGATCTCCATCAAGGACCAGGCTCTGAGGAGAAGCCCTCCTGTGAGGCCTTGAAATGGATCACGTGGCAGAGGAGAACCCATTGACCCTTCTGCACACATCCGTGTGCATCTCTGCGAAAGATTTGTGGCTTGAAAGAGAAGGTGACCTTTCTTGTGTGTCAAACGGAGGAAAATGGCATGTTTTTGTTGGCAGCGGGCATGAAGCCAAGTAAACATTAGTCAATCCAGGCTAGGTACAAAATTAAGTTATACTTTTGTTTGCTGGCCTGTGCCAGAGGCTGGCTTTGATCTTGGGAGACTTTTCTCCAAATGGAGTTTGGCAGTTTTTCCATTTGTTAGCTGCTTCAAATGGAGAGGGTTATAATAACCACCTTGTGTGGTAGTGATCTCAAACAGATGACATTATTTGGGTAATAATAAATGAGGAAAGGTAAACATGCCTGAATCAAAATAACTCTTTCTGGACTCTGAGCAGTGGTGCTGTTGGAAATGGCTTGCCTTCCTGGGTTACAGGAATTCAGCTGCGTTTGCTTTTGCTCTTGCTCTTGCTCTGGAGTTGTTTAACACCACAAATGTTGGACTGCAACTCATGAATTTATATTGCTAACAGTGTTTATTGGGTGGGTAGGTGAAATGAACTCCTTGACCTGGTCTCTTTTTTCTCCAGCATAAAATTGTTAAGAATAATTTTTCATTAGTATCCCTTGCTAGAAAAAGCAGGTATTCAGCATTCCTATGCCTCCTTTTCCAAGGATTTCAGGGTACTTTTCTGCATCTCACCCCAGCTTATCTTCACAACAGACCTGAGGGGTAGATGGCTAGGCTAAGAGCAAGTGCCACCCTGAGGTCACCTGGTAAGTTTTGTGGCTTGTAGAATTAAGGAACTGACCACTTCATTGCCCATGTCTGTCCACAGTGCCACACTGCCCTCCTGCTTCGACTTTCTCTGGGAACTTTTTGAAAGGGCCCTGACACATTACTCTGTGTTCAGCCAAGAATATTGTGTTGTGAGCCGCCCCAAGGCTTTGGCAAGGGGCGGCATAGAAATGTTTTAATAAATAAATATTCACCACACGCTCTGTAATCGCTGTGCCTGGAGGAATAAAGGAATGGAGTATCACTGATTCCCCCTGAAGCTTGTTCAGCAGCAATGGCTATGACTTGCTAACAAGCCTGGAAAGAACTAGGTTTGTCTGGGAGAGAGTAGAAGATGCAGGTTTCCTCTTCAGCTTCCACTGAAGGGTGAGGCTTGTTCTTCCTTGTGGTCTCTGTGCATCCCGCATATGGGTGCTGTGCCCGTGCTGTGCCAATGTTTGGGAAGATTCTCCTAGAAAGAAACTAGGCTTGTTAGAAGATGCAGGCTTCCCCTTCAGCTTATGGGTAAAGCATAGATCCTAGTTTGTCTATTATTATTAGCCACCTTTCTAATAAAAAAATCTGGCCAACATAACAACAGAATTAAGAGAATCAAACTTCTAAGTCAATTAGGATGGGGAAAAAGGGCTCCATAACATATCATGTTGCCAGAAAGATATTAAAACTTCAGGGGCCACCAGGCAACTGGATGGATTTCAGGAGCTGGTCAGAAGCTTGGGAACAGAGGGTAGTTTCAACCTGGCACGGACCAGGTGACAGCATATTGATGGCGTCAGGCAGATCTCACTGGGGAGAACCTTCCACAGATGGGGGCAGACGGTATTCTTTGGGTGGGGGTCACCTTTGAGGCAGGAAGCAGTTCCCTGTCTTTGCTTCTCTATTGAGCAGCCCCATTGCACGCCTCTTCAGTCGTGTCACTGCGTATCTGTTAACACTCATGCTCATGCTTACTCTTTGTGACACTGCATTTATATCCTGCCTGTTCTCCTCCTTAGAGGAAAAACAACTCACTTGCTCACAGCAACTGCCTGAGGTCCCCAGGCCGGCACCTCCACTCCACAGCACACTGGCTTTCGAACGTACTTTAAACATGCGGATTGGCTGCTTGAGTCAGGTTGCCCAAGCCAGTGACCTCCTGATGTTTGTGGACTTCAGCTTTTATCAGCTGGAGCCAGCTTGGTTCAAGGTGCCGAACGGCTGAACGATCCCTAATTGTTGAAGACTGGCTTACGGGAATGCTCGCTTGGCTGTACCGGGAGAGCTGAGGGGGAGCGGGGAAGAAGGGGAGGGAGCGCCTGCATTCGGTAAGGTCAGAGTCCTTGTGTTCTTCTCCCTGACCCTCGATCCTTTAGGGTGACTGCATAATCACCGTATCGCTTACTGATGAAGACCAAGTTGGAAGCGATGACGCTGTTTTTTACCTCGTGTTTACTGGGTCTGCCATTCAACACTGTGCCAGCACCAGGAAGCTCAGCTCGGGGATGTTGGAGACCATTGCTCCAGGTAAGCCTCTTCATCCGCCCCAGGACACTACTCTTCCGCACAGCATTTGGGGCTTCAGCTTCTCTCCTCCAGTAGGGGCTGGTGGCTGGTGGGTTGGACTGGGAACTTGGGAGACCTGCGTTCTGATCCCCACTCAGTCATGAAGCTTGCTGAGTGACTTTGGGCTAGGCTCCCACTCTCAGCCTAGCCTATCTAGGGGGATGGAAATGAGGGGGGGACCACGTAAGCCACTTGGGGTTTTTCACAAGAGGTAAGATGGCAGGATATAAATGTAATGTAATAATAATCCCCAGCGGGCAAGCCCAGTGGTTAGGAAATGCATGGGGTTAGTCTGGGAGATCTGGAAGGCACCAGGTTGTGGGGAACTGTTGTGCAGCATGAGTCCATGCCTCTTCTCTGAGCTCCGCAGTGAGCTGGAATTTGTGCCGTTTATTTATTATTCTACCCCACCCCAAAGTTTTTCCCTTTTTGCTCCCTGGTGAATTCCATCCATCCCTGAAGGTGCCACGCCTGGGGCTCGTGCACTTGGAACAGCCTCGTTTGCCTGAGAAATGGCCTTGTGCTAGTGTGCACTCTTATCAATATTCTACTTGAAAGCGATAAAGGGAGGTGCAGCCATGTGGCAAGACTATATGGGTAACTCTCCGAGAGGGTTGTGAGCGGCAGCTGACTGGAGAAGCACCTGGGGATGCAGGAAAAGTTGATAAGCAGGGCTAAGGAGTGTGGTATAATTGGAGGAGAAACCAGGAGGCAGGAGCAAATTTAAAGGCATGGGAGCATGTCGAAGGATGCAAGAGCATGCCAAGGGTGGGGAAGACCTTGCTGCTCCAGTTTGGGCTGAGTGGATGAGGGAGCCTTCTGGTACTCATTCTGTGGTGGTGGGGTCTGTCCAGGGACACCAAGGGTGCTAAACTGCTTAGCTGGCTTGTAGCTCACTGCTTCACCACGCAGAGGAGCCATACAGAATTCCAGAGGCTCCACTTCAGCCTTCCCCAATCTGTTGGCCTTCAGAGGCATTTGGACTGCAACTCCCAGAATTCCCGTCCAACAGGGCCATTGATTGGGAATTTCGGGTGTTGCAGTCCGAACGTGTCTGGAAGGCCCAAGGTTGGGAAGGCTGACTTCGACAATGCATATTGTATTCTCCCCTGTTCTCCACCCCTCATACTCAAACTCCTTTCGGGCAAGACTTGCTTAGGCTGTTGCTACTGTCTAGGGGTTGCAGTGAGGCTGCCCCATCTAGGTCTTTTTCTCTCTCTGCATTATAGAACTCATTATTCTGAAAGGCTCTCCTGGTCCTTGGAAAACAAACTAAAACTCACTTCCTCCTGGTCCATTGTGGTACAGGGGTTAGAGCACTGGGCACAGAGCAGAAAGATGTAGGATTGGATACTTGAGCATACATGAAACTCATGGGCGTAGCTTGACCACACATACTGTTGCTCGACTCAGTCTACCTCACAGGATTGGTGTGTTTGGGGGAAAGCCCCCACTATTGATTTGAGGGATGAATTGATTGGTTGAAATTTTTTCTAGGGCCTTTCAGGGCAGGACTGTCCAATCAAACCCCATATTAAAAAAGTGAAACAGAAGTAAAGTAGCAAGTATTTATAAAAGTGCAAACACTGGCAGGAAAACCTGGAGAGGTTGGGGTGTGCTGGCACAAGCTGGTTGGAGGATGAGTGGTATGAAAAGGAAATAAAGAGATGTTTAACACTGAAGGCATCCTGGCAGAATGGCTAGTTCTAGACGGCTCCTCAGTGATAGGTGAATTCTTCTGCCCATCAGCGTCATTTCTCAGGGCAAGAAGAGTTCTCCCTCTCCCTACCCTGGAGGTAATGCTGCCCGTGGAAAGTTTTACTGCTTAATTCTGCTGATGTGCATAAGTTCTTGCTTCGCTTCAGCCTGACCATTTCACAAAAGGAAGCATTCTCCACTCCAGAGCTGGAGCATGTGAAGTGCAAGATGAGAAGCTGCCTCGGGGTTTTGCATTCTGGCCTCCTGGCATGTACTTCGCGGCCTGTGGGTGCAGAAAGCCCCCACTGGGTAAATAAAAGCCAGTGGTTTAGCTATGAAGCATAAAGCTTACGTAGGCTCTCTCTCTCTCTCTTTATCTCCCTTGGCTCAACTGGTTCCTTTTTCCTCTAACCTCATGCCACACGTCTGTAATCATGTACTTAAATTGTATATTGAACCCGTTTCCTTGGAAATAATTGTGGTGACTCAGAGCCAGCGTTGTTTGACTGCCGCAGGATTAATAATGAGCGAGAGATGGGCTGTAACTAAGACCAAGCCCTTGTTTATCCATTGGAGAAATTGGAAGAAAAGTGCACGGTGATGGGCTGGGGAGAGAGGGAAAAGCTGAAGGGAATGGCTTTTGGCCAATGCCTGCCTTGAGCATTGTCGGCCGGTGTAACCCTACCCTGCTGCTCCTCCGTTTTGTATTCCAGACGTGCACTAGGACGGCTCTTGGCCTTCAGTTAGAGAGTTTACCCTGTTTGTGGAGAGCCGAGGTGGCAGCTGCAGTGACTGCACAAAGGCATTGGAAACCGCCTCATGCTTAGACCGTGGGCACTCGGTCCATCTGTGTTAGTTTTGTCTGTCCTGAGTGGCAGGAACACCTCCAGGTTTCGGGAAAGAGTTTTTTCCCAGCCCTACCTGGAGGTATAAGGACTGAATCAGGGGCTTTCTGCATGAGAAGCACCTGTTGCAGCCTACCTGGTTTCCATCTTAACTTAAGGTTTGAATTGAGTTGGAAGCCCTGATGAGAGAAGATGGTTCTTGACATGCAAAACCTGACATGCATACCAGTGTGACACTGAATGGTGTGCAGGTTCGTAGGTTGGGTTGTGCTGTGAAGAAGATGGGGGAGAGAAACCCTCCAGATGTTTTGGACTTCATCTGCCCTCAGTCCCTGAAAGTGTGGCCAAAGCGTAGGGATCCTGGGAGTTGCTGTCGAAAACATCTGGAAGGCGACAGGTTGGGGAGGGCTGGGGGAGGGTCCAGAAGCACAGGATGTGTGGTCCTCGTCTGATCTCTTAACTTTTCTTAAGACAACACCATCTGGCATGATAGTGGTGAGATGTTAAGACAAGCTTGTGATTAACCCAAGAACTGAGGAAGCAGCAAAGGGTCAGTGCTGCATTGCTAACTCATCCCCCAAAAAGAGAACTGCAAGATTCTTTTCTTCTTTTTCAGCACTGTAATTCAGTGTCCAGTTATATAAATATAAGAAAAGCAAATTGCATTTGTCTCTGCTTCTGCTTTGCCATTCACAATGCAGCCCTGTAATATTACTTGTGAGTTTTTAATGTGTTCGGTGGAAAATCATGTTTTTCCCCTCTTCCTTTTATGAAAAAGTCTTTGTGCTGTGGGAGCGCAACAGTAAACAAGTTGCATAAGAAATGGTCACTTGAAAGTAATAGTCATGCAGGGCATGGTTGAAAAGTACACTGTCTTACAAACACCCCCACAACTCCTTAAAAGAGTAGCATAAAGTTATTCTCTGGAGGTGGGGGCACATTAAGGTGAATGGGTGGGGGGTAGAGAGCCAGTGCCTCCTCCCCTCTTAAACTGGGTATCCAGTAGCTTGGTTTTGTCAGTCACTTTCTACTTCTTTGGGTAGACTGCTGGGAACCCAGAAGCAATTCTTCTGGGTCTGGATTTGCCACAGGAGATCTTCCAATTGCTGACCCCTCTGATGAAGTCAAGAAGGATTCTGATCTGTAGTTTGACTAGTTTGTATTTCCCCCCACTCCGTCTCTCAGCTTTTCTATTCATTTAAAGTATGTTTTATCCTGCTTCTTTGCTAAAACTGCTTCCACAGATGTTTACATTCAATGCCGCCTCTTCCTGCAAGCATACAGTCTAAAAAGACACAGCACGTGAGGCAAAGGAGAGGGGTGGGAAGAAGAAAATACTAAGTCAAGTATCAGCAGGGCTGTGGATGGCCCTGCTTCCTGCCTCACGTCCTGGGCATGGGGTGGGGTGTGGGGGACCCCACCAGAGCTGGCCCTGGTCTTTCTTGTTGCTTTCTTCTCTTTCCCTCCACTCTTTCCAAAAGGCCAGTTGATATCAGACTGTCTTGGGGAAATGGAGGCAGCATGCAGTCAAACTGGCACAGGCTGTGAGGAACCCCAACTCTGCTCCTCATTTGGGCTGAGTATGCACAAGGGGCCACCTCAGAGATCCCTCGTCCACCTCTGTGGACATGGATGTGTGCCCTCAGACATGTCAGGCTTCCCTCCGCCCTGCCAGCCTGGGGATGGAATTGCCCTTGGGCATCCAGGGGGACTCGTTTGGCTTGCGTTTCCCATGGAGACTTAAAAATAGCAGTTGCAGCCGCACTCCCATTGTTCATTCTGTGGAATCCATCCTCTCAAAATAGGACGTTTTGGACAGGCTGGCTTCCACTCCTGGCTGGAGAGGATATGAAGTCATGCGTTAGCTGGGCTTCCAGCGGTGCTTGTTTAGCTACAACAAAGTTTTGTCTCAAGTAGCTCTGTAATGAGGGAGACTGCCTGGATTGCTGGGGCCTTTTGGGGAGATGGCTGCGCATGATTCAGCCCAAAGATGTGCCAGATGGTGGTGGTGTTATGACGATTATTGCAGATTATTGCAGATTATTCCTTGTGACGATTATTTTGCAAGGAAAGGCTGGGAGCTTCCAGTGACTGGGGAGACCTGCAACCACAAACTCAGTCACAAAACGCAGGGCCATGTCACGCCTGGCGCAGATCCTCCATTCAGCAAAGCTTTGTTGGCCGGCCAGCCGGCCGGCCTCTGTTCTTGCTGCTCTCTCCAGATGGGGGCAAGGAGGGGACTCTCTGGCACGACCCAGTGCTTGAGATCCACCCCAGCATGTTCCTCCTGGGTGGGGCACCTCCCTCCTCCCCGTTGCATGGCGCCTCAGGTGTTCAGCCAGTCAGCATGGCGGAGTTGTCGTGCTTTCCAGGCAGAGATCACTTGCTGAGGCCATGGCCACGCCAGCAGTGAGCTGA